CCCAAAACAAAAAAATCTTCAAAACCGACAGAGAATTAGTGTTAATTTCTAAGTGATTAGTTGTTTGTTTGTTTTGTTTTATGGCATATCAACCTCAGTGAATCATTTAACGCAAACAAAATTTTGAATTAGATGCATAGAAATAGTTTGGTAAAAAAGGTGTGTATATATACATATATATTTGATCTGGTTTGATTTGTTTTACGGCATATAAACCTCAATGGGTTATTTAATGCTGACAAAATTTTTATTGCTGGTAATATGTTTTCCTTCAAAAATCTATTACTGGGAATATTTTTCCTTTAAGAAATTTATAGCTGGTCGTAATTTTTTCAAAGAATGTATAATGTTTGTATTGCTGGTATTTTTTTAAAAGTATTGATGATAATAAATTTTCTTTCAAAAATTATTGCTGGTAATATTTTTTTTATCACAAAGTATTGAATTCTGGTATTAAAACCTATTTTTACACAAGTTTGGGTGTTAACTATTTGCCCATAGCTGGGACCCTAACAGGTGCTACCACCCGGGTTAGCGCGAACCTGGGAACACTAGCAATTAAGAAGTGGTTCTACGCTCTGCAAAACCTCCCGATCAGAGGCCTTGCTGTTGGATGTAGTTTATCGTCTCACCCAAGACGCGGATGTAGTTTATCGTCATACACGGGATGGAATTTCTAAGTGAACATTTCTTGTTTATAACAGATAGTGAATGTTTTGAATCTAATGGGTACAGATATTGCCCGAATGTTAGTCATCGAGCGCTTTCAAACACGCTTCTTGTCTGTCTGTATCTCTGAGATGAGAGGTATTATGATTACTTGCATTATTTACATTATTCAGACTGTTATCCTCATCTTCATTGCCATATTCACAACATTTCGGCCTCTATATGCCTGATATGAGGTATTATGATTACTTGTATTATTTACCTTATTTAGACTGTTATCTTCATCTTCATTGCCATATTCAAAAGGTTTTGACCGTTCTACGCTCCGCCCTTCTTCAGGTGACTGGGAGTTTGAACCGAACCCTTTATTTCCTTTAACTCAACTCTCCATAGCGCAGTGGAGGAAGACATTAGATTCATTGTACGCTCCGGCCTTCTTCAGGTGATTGGAATCTCGAACCGGGCCCTTTATTTCGTCGGCCGGGGCAGACGTTGGTTAGATCCAGTGACTAGACCCAGAGAGTTGTGTGTTCAATACCAGACCACAACAGTGGTGAACCAAAACTTGGAGAGTCGAGTTAAAGGGAAATAAGCGAGACATCCGGAAGAGGCATGGCACGTGGAACTAGAACGATCTACCCCGGTGGATTGAAATAAAGGGTTTGGTTCGAAATTCCAATCACCTGAAGAAGGCCGGAGCGTACAACGGCCGAAACGTTATGGCAGTGACGATGAGGATAACAGCGCGAATAATTGTAAATAATACGCGCTTCTTGTCATCTTTAAGAACTTTCGATAAGTGGCGTTAATAAACAAGGATTGAATTGTGAAAAATAAATGAAAGCACGTGGGGATCGAGCTAGTACGCGCTCGCTTACGTGATATGAGACAAAAAAAAAAAAACAAAAAAAAGCAAAAAAGCAAGAGAAACAGACTCGGATATCGAATTATCTTGACTAGATTTTTTTTTTGGTCATCTGTCTAAATGGCCTCAAAGAAACAAAGAGAAATGTCAATGGAAAATGACGTTTAATCGGGCGAAGAAAAAAAATTAATAACTACAGATCTTACGTTGAAAACGTCACAAGATCCTTTGTATTTTCTTCTTTACGAATTCTTTTATGTGCTGCTATAATTAAATATAATTAAATGTTGATTTTTTTTGTAATTTCTGAGCGAGACAATGCTACGTATTAAAAGCAATGAAATATCACGAAAGAAAATACAAAAGAGATTGTTTTTGGTGTATCTCTTGGCAAGTTGTGAAAATCTTTACTTAGTGTAGAATGCAATCTTTAATAAAAGTTTCTTTTTTGTGATGTCAATGAACACTCGTTGCTACTTTGGTAATGTCAACAAATATTCGTTGCCACTTTCGTTAATGCTCGTTGTAGTAGAGACTTTGTAATCGTAGCTACAATTATAGTAACGCCGTTGAACATCACTCGCGCTAATAGTACTTGCTCGATAATACTCGTTCGAAAAGTAACTATCGTATAGTGATTTGAATAGAGAAATAGTCCTGGGTAAGACGATCAACTACATCCAGCAGCAAGGCCTCTGATCAGGAGGTTTTGAGGAGCGTGGAACCACCTTTTAATTGCTGGTGTTCCCAGGTCCACCCTGACCCAGTGTAGTAGCACCTGTTAGGATCCCAGCTATGGGCAAATAGTTAACTATTACCAGCAATACTTTTTTTGAAGAAATTATTACCAGAAACAGATTTTTGACAAAACAAAATATTACCAGCAATAAAAAAATGTTGCCGGCATTAAATAACCCATTGAGGTTGATATGCCGTAAACCAAACCAAACCAAACCAAACCAAACCAAAACTAATAGAGTAAGGAATAGAGGTCTGTATAGTAATAGAGGATAGACTAGAAATAGCGATCAATCTAGACGTCACGTGACTTCCTATATATGCGTTTCCTCTATGGTCACGTGATCCATTTAATTCGATAATGGGATCACTCGTGTTTACGAACTGGCGATTTATATTCAAACTGAAGAGTCGGCAGCGACACTTTATTCCTATATAACAGTTTGTCGTAACGCTTATATTTTATTATTATTGATTCTTCCGTACAATACAAATAGTCGACAACCAAAATTGTCCGTAGATTTTTTTTTTAAATAAAAATAAAATAAATAATTTCCAACGTTAATTTTATTGAATAACATAGAACATTTTATTTCACTGTTTTTCTATCTTTCCGCCAACTTTATAATTCCACCCACAACTTATCTTTCTCAACAAAGAACCGCTCATCGCGCCTAACGATTTTTTTTCCAAGGATTTTTTTTTCCGTGAAAGAATTTTGCAGATCTATAAAAACACTCTTATCGTCATGGTGATATAACATACTGCCATAATTGGTAGCCCTATCTTTTCAGATCAACTGTTTGGTTCACATTTTAGAGCTGAGAGTTATGAACTTCTCCACAACACACTGTAAACAACATTAGCCCATTTTGGATGAAGAGAGACCTTTACTAAGGATCGTGATGGACAATTTTGCATGTCTTACGTTCTATGTTGTTGTAAATTATCCATTTTTCATCGCCGATTACAATATAGATGTACAATGATAATGATATTTTACTATAGAAATACGTGGGAAATCAGTAAGAAAGGGATTATCGACAATAAATAAAGCAATTATTATTGACAGTATAAGCTTATTATATATAATAGCGGTCCGCTCGTATCCGCGTATGCCCAAACATTGAAGAAATCGCTAAGACTCATCAGGCTCATGTTTTTTATAAACACAAGAATGGATAAACTTATGGTATATTTCATTTAATATCTTTTTATTGCATTATTTCTTTCTGCAATATTTGACTTCATTATAACGTATTTTTTCGAAATTTGTATATAGTGCTCCTATAATTATTGTTAGGATTTCAAGTGCACTCGGACTTCAAAAAGTTTGAGAACCTCTGCCGTACGATGCACTGGTGCACACTGGAAGATCTTTAGGTACAACCTAGCATTTCAGGGAAATATGTGTCCAGATATAAGAAATAAATATATTTACTTTATTATATTCCTTTACCAGTCTCGTTCATATAACGTATTTTTCCGAAATTTGTATATAGTGATTAATTCCCAGCTACCGGTTGAAAGTAGGTAAACTATTTTTATATCTACCGTGAAACATTACATACCAATTATTTACGAATTTTGACTCAGCAGCTCAAGCAAAACGGTTAAAATTGTTCAGGAACTCAGGGTTCAAAGAGTTAAGAACTCAGACGAACAGTCTGATCTTTCTAACTAATGTTTATAACGACTATGAAGAATTTTCCTGAATAAGGTAAAATTCCGAATTGAGTGTTCGTCAGTGCCATTAAAACCATAAAAAGGTTAACAAATATCCTCCTGGTGACAGGTTAAGTTGAGATCTTTTCTTTTTCATATGTTGTGACTGTTTTGCCGAATTTCTGGGATGAGGAGTTATCATTATTTAAACTACATTCGGACTGTTCTTATCACGTTTCTGTCGTTGTGTTATCCGGCCTTCATCAGGTGCATGTGCAACCTAATTCTGAACTGAACCATTTATTTGACAGGCAGCAACACCACCAGCAACACTAATCAGCAAGTCAAAAATGCCAATGGAACGCAGGGGTGGGTGGGTTTAAGGTCCAGAGAGTGAAAGAGAATGAGAAGACTTTAGCGGAGATTATTAAGGAAACCGTTTACTTGCTTCCCTCTAAGTACAAATTTCAAAAATGTAAATGCAACGTCAATCGCCATCTTCTGTATTTTTGAATCCCGTTAATATTTTCCCCTTTTCTCAATCCTTCCGATACTCAGTTTTTTCTCTCATTTTCACTCCCTGTAACCTCCTGCGTACTAGTGGTATTCCCGCCTTGCTTGGGGTACAAAAATCAGACAAAAAAATGAAGCATTACGATCATATCCCGACCAGAGTTGCTCAGTCCTCACCGTCCAGCTTGTTCAGAAGCCTATACACAGCCTTGTGGGTGATGAATTATTTTCCACTCTGCAACCCGAAACGTTACTAGTCGCACGCTTCTCTATCGCTATTTCCATGGCAAATGTTCAGACGAGCTACATTTCTTAGTTCAAACAGTTTCGACCTTCTCAGCTAGGACCCACCATGTCACGCACAGAGAGGCGATTTATCCTAATTCCTTTCGGTCTGGTAAAGATTAAGTTCCTTTCCCGAAATTGTTACAGACGATCAACTGGATGATGCTTTCCCGACAGTAACGATCTTAACCCCTTCATGTCGAGGTTCAACCGTTATCCATCCTACATACCCCGATAATATACACTTCTTACTTTCTCCCAGTCTTACGGCAATATTACGTGGAAACACCGGTTCCCGTACGACTACCGAAGTTAAGCAACGTCAAGCCTACTCAGTACCTAGAGGGGTGACAGCTTCGGAATACTTGGATGTGCGTGTGGTGTAAAGAGTAATGACTCAGGATTATTAATCGGAGATCCGCGTTCAAAATGCCGTTGGTTTCATTATCCGCAGCTGGCCAATGAAAATAAAAAAAAATATATACCTTTTGGGTTATTTACATTATTCGGACCATTGTCCTCATCTTTGTCGCCATATTTATCACAACCGTTTCGGCCGTTGTACGCTCCGGCCTTCTTCAGGTGGTTGGAATTTCGAACTGAACCATTTATTTCGCTCACTGGGGTAGACTGTTCTAGTTCCACGTGCCATGTTTGATGGATGTCAGTTATCAGTTATCTCCTGCTAATTTACCTCTGAAAGTTCTCCACTGCCTTAACCAGGAATTGAACTCACACTGTTTGGGTCCTTTCACTGGATCTAACCAATGACACATGGCACAGTGGATAAAGGCGTTCGTTAGATCCAGTGACAGGACCCAAAGAGTGTGAGTTCAATACCCAGTTAAGACAGTGGAGAACTTTCAGAGGGAAATTAATAGGAGATAACTGATAACTGACGTCCATTAAACATGGCACGTGGAACTAGAACAGTCTACCCCAGGGAGCGAAATAAAGGGTTCAGTTCGACATTCCAAGCAACTGAAGACGGCCGGAGCGTACAACGGCCAAAACGGTTGTGATAAATATGGCGACAAAGATGAGGACAATAGTCCGAATAATGTAAATAATGTACATAATATCTCATCTCAGAAATATAGACAGACCTTTTGGGTTGTTAGACCCAACCACTTGTCAGGGTAGAACTTCCAAAAATTAAAAGAAAAGGGAAAATAAAAATCTTTTTAGCTCTTAATAGGGATGAATTGAATACTGGTGAAATTAAGCTAGATAGTAGCTGATCAAAAGTTTAAGACAACACCTAAAAGAAGGCCTCAACAGAGTAAGAAATGTCCAACAGGACGTCTCAGTAGTGGGTTGCACGGCCGTCATCGGGAATAGCTTCAAAAATTCGCTTTGGCATGGTCGATATAAGCGTCTGCAGAAGTCTGGCTGGAATGTTATTCCAGGTGGTCAAAATGGCTTCATGAAGATCATGCACTGTTTGGAACTGATGTCCGTTTTTATAGGCTTCCCTTAACATCTACCTCCGAACATTTTTAATGGGGTTCAGGTCGGGCGAACACACTAAATAGTTCAAAAGAATTATGTTATTTACCATGAAAAGAATCCTTTGCCCTGTAGGCAATCTGGATTACAACGTTGTCCTGTTGAAAAATCCAGTCATTAATTAATACACAAGTGATGCTTTTCAGTCAATAAGGATGCTTTCTCCAACATAACCAGCTGCGGTTTAACGCTCCCTGTATAACTTGAAGCTCAATTGTTCCTTGGAAGGAGATAACACCACAGATCATGATGTCGTGTATAAAATATCTCCAGTAGATTGTCCTTATCGTGCCAGCAACTTTGGGATGCATCTGGACACTCCAGGTTATTTTTTATCTCATCAGAGAACAAAATCTTCTTCCACTTTTTTATGACCCATGTTTGGCACTTCTCAGTAAAATTTAACCGGGCTGTTTGATGGAGTGAAAGGAGGTGTGGACTTTGAAGGCGTTTACGGTTTTCAAGGCCTTTCTCTCGGAGATGCTGTCTTATTGACCTTGAGCTGCATTCTAGGTCCGTGAGGGCCTCAGTCTCGTTCGATGTTCAGCTGGTGTCTAGCCGGATAATCCGTCTAATCTTCTTTCACAACGTCGACGAAATTTTCTTGGGCCGACCACTTGAAATTTTCCATCCGTACCCCTCAGGGATTTTTAAGAAATTTGTGACAACAGTTTTACTAAGTCCAATCTCACCAGCGATGACACATTTCTGCCACGTTCAAACTCTGTCAACTTTTTAGCCTTCGCCATGATTTTAGATACGAGTGGGAATGCTTGAACACAAAGGACCAAATTTTATTACGTGTTGATAATCCATAAAAAAAGAAATCATTCAATCTATTTAAACTTACAACAACCTTACTCAGTAAACGTCTACTTGGGGTGGCTCTAGAGCCTTGTATTGAGTGAAATACAAAAATAATTTATTATTATTATTATTTTTATTTTCTTTGATTTCTGGCGTTTACACATTTCTTTCCGGGTCCCGCCCAGGGACCTAAAGTTAGAAATGGCAGCATGACACTTTCCACTGACAAAAAAAAAAACAAAAAACAAAAAAAAAAAAAAACGAAAAAGAAATTACATAGATAAAGTCCTTCGTAAAGTGTGGGCTGTACTTGTCAGAACAATTTTTTGTATCTCCTTGAGGCATGGGCTTCCAGGAATCCCTTCAATTAGTCTACTGCCATCTTTTCCAACCAGTCCTAGGGCTCCAACTACAACAGGGATTGTTGATGTTCCCATATGCCACATTTTCGAGATTTCTATTTCAAGATCCTTGTATTTTGACAGCTTTTTGAATATCTTCAAAGATACATTGCAGTCAGCAGGGACAGCCATATCAATAAGGAGGCACCGTTTTTGTTTGTGGTCTTTAATAACAATATCTGGGCGGTTGGCTTTGATTGTTATTATTATTATTATTATTATTCAATTTCTGCTATAGTCACACTACCTAGCCAGTCTGCGGGAAGACCTAAGGCAGGTAGTTGTGTGTTATGGCCAAATTTCATGATTTCTTTTTCCAGCTCCCATAAAATAACAAGCGTTACACGGACAAAGACCTTCTTAATGTGTAGGATGTACTTATCAAAGCAATTTTTTGCTTTTCTCTTAAAATGGGATTTCCAGGGATTTTTCAATGTGTTGTTGTGGTCCTTTTTTATCATTCCAAGCGCACCTACATTATTATACTACTACTAGTCTTGTTTTCAATTTCCATATTTTTTATTTCGATTTCCAGGTCTTTATACTTATTATTGTTATTATTATTATTCAATTATGTAGATAATGAAGTTTTCGAATTTTATTGCCGACAGCCTGGATTTTAATCTGGATTCGGGTTTAAAAATAACAAATTTAATTTGAAATTTCTTTTCACATTTGTTGCTAGATAATAATGTTGCAGTTCAATAATATCTCGGAGACATATATATATATATATATATATATATATATATATATATATATATATATATATATATCATTCTGATGTATTTGACTTGGAGTCATCCTCCAAGCTATGCAGCTAAATATTATAAAAGCGATTTAAAAATATGTTCAAAACATATAGACACACACGAGTACGCGCACACATACACATGAGAACGCGCACGCACGCATGCACACACAAACGCAAAGGGATTTTTCTGTAGTTTCCCACTAAAAGCTGACGTTTATAATTTTAAAGTACGGAAGCATTGAAAGGAGAAAAGAGAAAAGAAGAGTAAGTTGCGTTTTTTTCCCTCGCAAAATAAAATCTCGATTCGCGTTGTTTGTTTGGCGTAACATTTTAACAGTAATTTGAACAAAGCGAATGAAGACAGATCTCAGCCTTTTCCAGGACGGTCAGTCTTGCATGTCTTTTTACTTGAGTTCTCAAATCCGCCATCTTAATAGATTTATTTTCTTTTTAATCGGGTTCACCCCAAGCAAGGCAATAAAGCCACTAAGACACAAGTGGTTACTGGGTGTGGAAGAATTAGAACAGGTACATTGCTAAGGAGAGAAAATAAAAGAAGAGTAATCAGGAGGACAGTAGATAGTGATTGACATTGCATTTAAATTTTTGAAGATAAAAGTTGGCTGGAAAGCATGGAGCCGGAAGCGAGAAGTGCGATAAAAGAAACTGTATGCATAAAATCTACGATTATATTTAGCCATATTTTGATGAGATCTCGACGCTGGTCTAGTCTATCCAGTTATTCTCGAAAAAGAGATTCATCATCATCATGAAGTCGAGAATTCTCGGATTCTCTTGACTCGTTCCTTCAAGCCATCTGACTTCGCTGTCAGCAGGTCCCCCAGATGGCATCCACAGTCATCTACAAGTTGGTCCGTGTAGGTCTGATGAGGTCTTCCAACCGATCTTTTGCCGCTCAATGGGTTCCATAGGAGAGTGTCACAAGTTCTGACTTACTTCTCCAGGAGTGACCAACCAGCTCGCCAAAACCTTCTCTCTCAGTGAAACTGAAATAGGAGGAAAGTGTCTATACAGGCGTTTCTTGTTGGGTGTTTCTTTCAGCTGATGTCCAATACAACTCGTAATATCCTCGAAAGATTCAAATGACAGTTCCTAAGAAAAAAAAAATTAGTGCTGTCAAAAAGGTGAAATAAGAAAAAAAAAAAGCATAAGGGCATAGATGGATTCTAACGGTAAAAATTGTCTAGCACACCAAAGTGAACCAATTTTCTTAGTAGAAGACCTCGCAACTGATTCAATATAATCGCTTCATTTCATCTTAGTTGAAAACGTCAAACGAAGAAGCAGCAATGGTGGTTAGCATCAGCCATATTGACGGATGGAAAAATGGTTTTCTATGATGATGGAAGGATAGCAGTTTCGTTTTGGTGGCGTTGATAAAGATTTTTATTAGTCTTCCATACTTTAAAATTATGTAGTTGTGATGAAGTTTTCCAACCAATCTTTTGCCACACAAGGACCCAACTTTCTTAGCAGAAGACATAACAATTGATTCAATATAATAGCTTCATTTCATGTCACTCACAAGTTCCGACTTACTTCTCCGGGATTGACCCGCTAGCCGAAGCCTTCTCCCTCTTGGTGAAACTGAGATAGGAGGAAGGTGTCTATACAGTTTAACCTTATACAGCATTTGGTTTAGGCCCTCCCCATTAAGAGTGCAACATAATCTTCCTTTTGAAGTGAACCAACTTTCTTAGCAGAAGACCTAGCAACTGATTGAATATAATCGCTTCATTTCATCTCAGTGGAAAAAATAGACAAAGAAGCCACAATGAGTTTGCCTCCTGATGGTTAGCATCAGCCATATTGATGGAGGGAGAAAATGGTTCTCTATGATGATGGAAGGATAGCAGTTTCGTTTTGGAGGCATTGATGAA